GCTCACAGAGACAGCTGCTTTTGCAAGTGTCCCCATGCAGGAATTCAGTTGCATATAAAATTGAACCTACTCAACAGCTGCAGAAGGGTGCAAGTGATGGGTCTGTGTCCTGGTGTATTGTCATACTGCTCAAACAATAGCGCAGCTCGTAACATTTGGGAACTGCACACAAGGTTTTCTCTTGAAGCTGAACCAGAAACAACTTAAGTTCCTTCAGCTTTGTACTCTGTGCAGGAATAAATTGTTACTACTAAGGAGGTCAGAGTTTGCCCTTTCCCAGTTAGTCATTGATGACCCAGTCTTGCAGGACTCCATCCTTCTGACCCAGTGTCTCTGTCATTAAGCATTTTAGTTCAACTTCATCTCCTGGGTTAAGTTCACCACCAGGTAATCTGAAGGAGGTTGTTACCAGCTGTAGTAATAACACGTGGAGAAGCTGGTGCTCATGTACAATCAGCACTCCCTCTACAGTCCTCATTCCAGTTTTACCACATTTCCTCCTCCTCCTGAAATCTGGCTGCAACCGAGCTGACCCTTTCATAGAGGGGCTCTTTTGTACCAAAAGTGTAGTTGGTAAGAGGGTACAGCCTGAATGTGCTCTAAGACAAGGACTTGGTCTGCTGGATGTGCTTGTTGCTGAACAGGTTGACTCCCTGTGGCCAGCTGGTCTGTGAGCCAGTGAGGGCTACCACAGACAGGCTGGCCACCTCTCGCCCTGGAAGTGAGCAGAAAGCTGGAGGCAGGGTTGCCCACTGAGGAAGTGGTTATCTGCTCCCCGCTCAGCATCTGCAGCCCACCATTAACAAAATAGTATAAGAGGACTACTGTTTTTCATATTAAAAGCATCAGTAGCCTTCAGAATGTTAGTGCTGGAGCCAGCTCATTTGTTTTGTTAATGAATGAGATACCTGGCCCAAGTGTGCTTTTGTGTTTGAGCATTCAAGATTGTCCTTAAAGTATGTCCAGTGGTGGGCCAGGGAGATAGCTCAGTAGAATAAGAACCTGCCTGGCAAGCTCAAGGTCCTGAGTTCAATCTCTGGTATCAGAAAAAAAAAATTTTTTTTTGTCCAGTGTTAATGTTCAAATATTTTATCTCTTCAGGTGTTGGAAAGTAGGTGATGAGATGTATAGGGGTCTTTTACTGTTCTCCACACTTCTGAATGTATTTGCAATTTTTACCAAGAAAAACCAAACCAAACCTGTAACATCAGGAAATATTCTTATCTCAGCCTTCCCTCTTGAATTCAGTACACCACAGGCAAAAAGATTTTAATGCATTTATGCCAGAGGGTACAGTTGTTTGAATTTTTGCATGAAATTCATGTATGTTACCTAGAAAAATAACAAAACAAGAATTTGAAGATAAAAATGCTATTGTTAGGTGCTGTTCCAAAAATGGAACATTATGCCAGGCATGGTGGTGGCATACCAATAATCCTAGCACTCAGGAGGCTGAGGCAGGAGGATCACTGAGAGTTCATGGCCAGTCTGGGCCATGGCTACATAGTGAGTTCAAAGCTGGCCTGAACCATGTCAGAAAACACACATACACAAAAAAACCAATAGCAAAAAATGGAACACTAGGTGTAAAAGGATTAATGGGTAATCTGGTAACTGATAACTAGGGTTTTGTTTTATGTTAGTGTTGTAAGTACTAATTTTCAACTGTGCTCTTCTTTCCATACTTACAAGATTTTAATGACTGGAAAAACTTCCCCAGGTTCAAACACAGAATCATAGTTTCTTAACTTCACAAAGTTGACTATAAATTTGAATGCATTATAGGGCAAGTGAAAGGGTTTTTTTTTTTTTTTTTTTCCTTTTGTTATACGAGGGTTTGAACCCACCAGCCTTTGAACAGGGCTGTATCCCTAACCTTTTTAAATTCTGAGACATCGTCTTACACTGTCACTAAGGTGACACCTGGCTGGATAAAATTGTCTACAAAAACACTGAAGGTCATATTTTAAAAAATATTTTGTATGTTTGATGTGGCTATATTGAGATTATTAAAAATATACTAGATATACTATGTAATTTATTCCTTTCAGGTTGGTTCATACATATATATTTTCACTGCTTTCTTCCAGTATATAGTGGAATGTAGCTACTTCTGTGTTGTATGCTTTTATAGAGAATCCCTAAAAGGGTCATTCAGTGAAAAATACATTTCTTACATACTGCCTAACTGCCTTCCAGAAAAGTGATTGCCATTTT